CAACCGACAAGTTCCACACATTTATGGAAACTTCTGCAACAGACTTGGGAAAAACTTTTTGATTTCTGTTGTAAAAAGACCGAGCCACGAGTGTGTTCAGCTGTTCTATCTGCCGAAGGTCGACGCTTTCATCAATCAAAAGTTTAGAATGTGTTTTGGTCAATAGTAAACAGTAAAAAAACTAGAAAAAGTGTGGTGTTCTAAAACCTTTGACTGGTAGTGTACATTATGATGTTGTTTCCTCATCACCAACAGACCTGGAGTTGTTCACCGGCTAGCGCGCCGTTTGTGGATCGTAATTTTGATTATTTCTTGCAAAAAACACAGTGAAACTCCCGTAGTTCTATTGCTTCTGCGGTGACATCACATTGGGTCAGTTCTACATGCGTGTCTATGGTGGAATGTTCAGCACTTCTGTTAACGTTTGCGCACTTTTTCCCCCTGTGTATTTATTATTGTCTTCAACTTTTTGTAGTCGTCCAAAGTACTTAAGTACAATTTTTAAGTACAGTATTTTTCGGACTATAGGTTGGAGTTAAATCACTTTTTTTAAGAGCAAGTATGAGACCACATGTACATTGTACCGTCTAAAAAGAGTGTTTTATTCTTCTAATTTGATTGTTTAAAGGTTGTATAGAGGATTTTCCAAGGAACGAGAAATCCAGCGACTGTTTGTCCTTTTTCAAATGTTGCGCATGCGTGAAACCCCCCCTCCCCTACAGCTCCTACGTAGAAACACCTCCTCCCTCCTCCTCCTTTACGCCAGAAAAAGGTTTGTTTCATCGCTGCACATGACTTGTAAACAACTAACTACAGTGTTGGTTAGGCAAGACGGAGAAGTGAGGAGCGGGGGAGGGGGTGCGCGGAGATTCGGTGCGCAGAGAAGAAGTGAGGAGCAGCGGGAAGAGCGGAACGGGGAGCAGGGAGAGGAGCAGGAAAGGGGTGCAGAGAGGGGGCGCGGAGATTCAGTGCGAATGAAGCTACTACTACAACACGCAGCAGCAAGCGGACTCTTTCTTTGCATTGAAAATTACGTTTTCAGACACAGGATATCACATTCGTGTCCTGAAAAACGTTTGTCTAACTCTTGGAAATAAAGTACGTTTTCATAATAAGCAGAAGTTTCCTGTCCAGGAGTAATTTGTGGACCAGTGCGTTCAGTCTTTAGACCCTTCGTCTGCTTCAGTTCGCGCCATCGCTGGAATGAATCTATCAAGAATCACCTTAGTTTGGCTTCGCTGCTTTTCCCCTTGTCTTCTTCTTTCAGCGACCTCAAAAACTGACTTTCTTTTGCGGCGAACTGCTCCTGGATTCTTGTCGCCATTGCAACAAACTTTGTGCGAACTGCGAGGAAGATATAGGTCAAAAAAGCCGCTAAGAACTGTTGCGTTGGTGGAGTAAACAGTGTCTGTGCGTCTTGCGTCTGTGGACTGCGTGACAGTCGTACGTAAACCACGTAACGGCGGCGCAGACAAGTCAGTTACACTAGAAACGTAGGGAGTTTGATTGACAGCCTGTCAGCTCACAGATAACGAGGCAGTGTCGTTATCTATTGGCAAATGTTTAGCCCCACCACGTCCAGAGTTGATGAATTTTTATTCTCTTTTTTTTGGTCATCATAATTACAAGGCGACTGCATCTATAATCTATCACTGACAATTTGAAACAAAAAAAAAAATCCTCCATGCAACCTTTAAGTCCAAGTTTAGTCCTGGTTTAGTCCTGGTTTAGTCTTGACCCGCCTGTAAAATTCCAAAACGTTAAAACCCGCCCGTTTCCCTCCGTTACCGCTTCACCGGACCTTTTTACTACAACTTCACTTTCAAGATAAAATGTCGGTTCCTGGTCTCTGATTTTATAAAATACATTTCCACCCAAAAAGTGCGACTTAAATATGTTTTTTTTTTTCTTTCTTTATTGCGCTTTTTTTGGCTGGTGCGACTTACTCCGAAGCGGCTTTTAGTCTGAAAACACGGTACTTCATCAAATTTTGCTTATTCAGAAATCCCTCGTCGAGCTCGGAGTTGAAGATCAGAGACTCCCGCTGTGTATACTGTGTCAAAAAGAAATCAAAACTGAGAACAACGGCGACACATAAAGTTTTAAGTTGTTTCCTCTGATGTGTGCGCAGCCCTTTGTGAAAACGCCTGTTATCCGGAGGAGCGGCGGCGGACAGCAGAAAGCCCCTCGGAGCTTTGGCGCTGCCACGTCTCCACCAGATCTGTGTCCTCTCCGTATTTGGGCAGTTTTTAATTAGACACGGACTCACTGTGTAACAAGACCCCGGGAGATTTTACATTTTAAAATATGCATTTGATGTGTTGCACCAACTCGAGACAAAAGGGACAACGGCACGTCCAGAAACACGTCCAGAAACACGTCCAGAAACACGTCCAGAAACACGTCCAGAAACACGCCGGGTTTTTAGAAATGTTGATTAGTACGAGTTTAATAATACTTCCAGCTGAAGACGAAGCAGATGTGTCAAACTGAGCTACTACAAGCAGTGTTGGGGAGTAACAGATTTATGTAATCAGAGTACAGATTATGAGTAACTGTATTCAGTTACAGTTACTGTTTCAGTGAGTGGAAATTGGATTACAGTTACTTTGTTGAAATAAATGGATTACACAGAGGGATTTAACTGTTTTCACATTTGGGGCTAAATCCCTTTTTCTTTTTCCTCGATAATTCCATTCATTGCCGGTAACTAAACCAGGTCTAAACCAGGTCTAAACCAGGTCTAAACCAGGTCTAAACCAGGACTAAACCAGGTCTAAACCAGGACTAAACCAGGACTAAACCAGACTAAACCAGGTCTAAACCAGGACTAAACCAGGACTAAACCAGGACTAAACCAGGTCTAAACCAGGACTAAACCAAGACTAAACCAGGACTAAACCAAGACTAAACCAGGACTAAAGCAGGTCTAAACCAGGACTAAACTAGGACTAAAACCAGGTCTAAACCGGGTCTAAACAAGGACTAAACCAGGACTAAAACCAGGTCTAAACCAGGACTAAACCATGACTAAAGCAGGACTAAAACCAGGTCTAAACCAGGTCTAAACAAGGACTAAACCAGGACTAAACCAGGATTAAACTAGATCTAAATTATATCTAAACCAGGACTAAACTAGGACTAAACCAGGACTAAAACCAGGTCTAAACCAGGACTAAACCATGACTAAAGCAGGACTAAAACCAGGTCTAAACCAGGTCTAAACAAGGACTAAACCAGGACTAAACCAGGATTAAACTAGATCTAAATTATATCTAAACCAGGAATAAAGCAGGACTAAAACCAGGTCTAAACCAGGTCTAAACCAGGTCTAAAACAGGATTTAACAGGACTAAATCATACTGTGTGGACGCGTCTCCTCGTCTTCTATCAATAATATTTTTAATACGGTTGAGTAACGAGTTTAAAATTCATCCAATCAACAATAAATTCATAAACAATGTGAAAAATTTAGAGTTTAAATGTGAGAATCCACAGAGGCTGGAGTCAAATTCCAGGTCGGATAGATCGGAAATTTGCATTATTCGAGCCCTTTAAAGGTTGTATAGAGGATTTTTAAGGGCAAAGAAATACAGCGACAGTTCTTTTTCAAATATTGTGCATGTGTGACACCACCTTCCTCAGTAGAAACATCTCATCCCGCCTCTTTACTCTAGAAATCACATTTGTTTACATCCAGTGCGCGTTCAGAATTACTGTTGAAGTGACCTGCCTAGAATGAATTTAGCGATCGACACATCAGTTTTTAGACTTTTCATCTGCTTTATTCGCACAGTCGTTGGAAGAGATCTCCAAGAATCACCTCAGTTTGGCTTCGCTCCTTTTCCCCTTCTCTCCTTCTTTCAGCGACCTCAAAAACGGACTTTCTTTTGCGGCGAACCGGTCGTGGATCCTCGTCCGCCGTCGCGACAAACTTTGTGCGAACTACGAGGAAGCGACAGTTTAAAAAAGCACCTAAGAACCGCTGCATAAACCGCGTAATCCCCGCGCGCTGGCGAGTCAGTCACACTAGAAACGTAGGGAGTTTGATTGACGATCTAACAGCCAATAGAAAATGAGGCAGCCTCGTTTTCTATTGGCTGATGTTTATCTGGCCTCAACACGTCCACAGTTGATAGATTTTCATTCTTTTTTTTTTTTTGGTCAGCATAATTACAAGGCTGCTGCATCTCTGTAATGGTATTTTAAACTTTCACTGACAATTTGAAACTAAAAATAAATCCTCCATACAACCTTTAAAGGTTGTATAGAGGATTTTTTAAGGGAAGAGAAATACAGCGACAGTCCTTTTTCAAATGTTGTCCGTGTGTGACACCACCTTCCTCCTCCACAGCTCCTTCAGTAGAAACACCTCCTCCTCCCGCCTCTTTACTCTAGAAATCACTCTTGTTTACAGCCGGTTGCGCGTTCAAGAATTCCCGTTGAAGTGACCTGTCTAGAAATAAAATCCTTCGTCCGCTTCAGTCGCGCCGTCGCTGTAAGAAATCTCCAAGTCTCACCTCAGTTTTGTTTTGCTCCTTTTTCCCTTCTCTTCACGACTTCAAAAACCGGCTTTATTTTGCGGCGAACTGGTCGTGGATTCTCGTCCGCCGTCGCAATAAACTTTGTGCGAACTGCGAGGACGCTACAGATTAAAAAAGCCTCGAAGAACCGCCGCATAAACCACGTAATCCCCGCGCGCTGGCGAGTCAGTTACACTAGAAACGTAGGGAGTTTGATTGACGACCTAACAGCCAATAGAAAATGAGGGAGCCTCGTTTTGTATTGGCTGATGTTTATCTGGCCTCATTATGTCCACAGTTGATAGATTTTTCATTCTTTTTTTTTTTTGGTCATCATAATTACAAAGCTGCTGCATCTCTGTAATGGTATTTTAAACTTTCACTGACAATTTGAAACTAAAAATAAATCCTCCATACAACCTTTAAGAGGCTGGGAAAAGTAAAAAAAAAATCTAATTAACTCCATGCAGCTCTAACCTCGAACGCCCCGCAGGACTTGACGGGGTAAATGTAGATATTGGTGAGCGTGCAGCCCTCCTCCCTCTGGCCGTTTCGCTCCGTCTTTCCAAATCCCCTCTCCTCTTCTCTTTTCCCCTCCTCCTCTTCCCGTATCTCCCCGTTCGGCCGCGCGATCGACCGCCGGCCCGGGTCCCGCGGCGACGTGGCGTTGGCGAGCCGCTCCACCCTCTCCCGGTCCACCGTCGCCGGCCCCTCCACGAAACACTCCGCCACAAACCTCAGGAAGTTTTGACAGTCCGGGAAAGTGGACATGTATCCGAAGGACACGCGCACGGATCCGGTCGGCCGCCCCGAAACCAGGTCCACGTTGTCTCCGCAAACGTGACCTGCCTGAGAACCAAACAAGAGCAAATACAAGACAAAAAGAGAAAGAGGAAAGAGCAGAGAGTTTGGGGAGTTAGAAAGAAGTTCGGGGGGATATTGCAACAGTGTAAAATTCGTAGTCTGACCCGGTTGGCAACAGAAAATTGGAAAATAAAAAAGATATATGGAAGTCAACAGTCAAGTTACTTCAAGACATTTTTCTTTCAACAATCACAATATGCCCAAATTGCCTGGACCTGAGATTGAACTACCGATTTTTTACTACAGTTTTTTTTTTTTTTTTTTTTTTTTTTTTTTTTTAGTTTCCATGCCGTATTTTTCGAACTATAAGGTGCACGTTAATTTTCTCAAAAATCAACGGTGCATCTTATAATCTGGTGCGTCGTTCACACACCCAGGGAATGTTACCGGCCCTAGAACAGCCTCCTTCCCCCCTTCCACTTACTCCTCCTCTTTCTTCCTCCTTCCTCCTCCTCCTCCTCCCTCCTCCTCCCTTCCTCCTCCTCCTCCTCCTCCTCCTCCTCCTCCTTCTCCTCCTCCTCCTCCTCTTCCTCCTTCCTCCTCCTTCCTCCTCCTCCTCCTTCCTTCCTCCTCCTCCTCCTCCTCCTCCTCCTCCTCCTCCTCCTCCTTCCTCCTCCTCCTCCTCCTCCTCCTTCTTCCTCTTCTCCTCCTTCCTCCTCCTTCCTCCTCCTCCTGCCTCATTCCTCCTTCCTTCCTCCTCCTTCTCCTCTCCTCCTCCTTCCTTCCTCCTCCTCCTCCTCCTCCTCCTCCTCCTCCTCCTCCTCCTTCCTCCTCCTTCTTCCTCCTCCTCCTCCTCCCTCCTCCTTCCTCCTCCTCTCCTCCTCCTCCTCCTCCTCTCCTCCTCCTCCTCCTCCTCCTCCTTCTTTCTTCTCCTCCTTCCTCCTACTCCCTCCTCCTCCTCTTTCCTCCTCCTCCTTCCTTCCTCCTCCTTCCTTCCTCCTCCTTCTTTCTTCTCCTCCTTCTTCCTCCTTCCTTCCTCCTCCTCCTTCCTCCTACACCTCCTCCTCCTCTTTCCTCCTCCTCCCTTCTCCTCCTTCCTCCTCCTTCCTCCTTCTCCTTCCTGCTTTCTTCTCCTTCCTCCTCCTTCTTCCTCCTCCACATCCTTCCTCCTTCCCCCCTCCTCCTTCCTCCTCCTCCTTCCTCCTCCTTCCTCCTCCTCCTTCCTCCTCCTTCCTCCTTCCCCCTCCTTCCTCCTCTCTCGCTCCTGCGTCCTACCTCCAGGTTTCTCTTCATTTGCTCGTCGCTGATGCCCAGAAAGTCCTGGCACGCCCCCGTGTTGCAGAAGCAGCCGGTTCGCACGTGGATGTTGTAGAGACTGGCCATCCGGTCGACCTGCGCACACAGAGGAGGAGCTCGTGTCATGTTCCTGCCCACGGAGAGACACCGGGGAAGAGCTCAGGCAGTTCATTAAACCCGTTAGGAGCCGTTCGGTCTTGAGCGCTGGAGCTGAATACCAGAGCGGACGGTCCCGACACTTTCCGTCCAACCGCAATCAAACCGGAATTGCAATTTGAACGGACGCCAGTGTTTTCCCCATTAAAGGTGCACGATATAACTTCTGGTTGGGGATCTGTCACCTGCTTGTTTCTATGGTTACCGTAAAATACCTAATAATAGTCGGGGAGAGTTTATTTGTTTCAATCACTTAACAGACCAGGCTTTTATTTGAGACCAGGCGGTGATTTGGGGCAGGCGATTAAAGGTTGTATGGAGGATTTTTTTTTCTTTCAAATTGTCATTGAAAGTTTAAAATATCAGTACAGAGACGCAACAGCCTTGTAATTATGATCACCAAAAAAAAAAAAAAAAAAAAAAGAATGAAAATCTATCAACTGTGGACGAAGTGAGGCCAGATAAACATCAGCCAATAGAAAACCGAGCTCCCTCTTTATCTATTGGCTGTCCTTGAGGTTTTGGTTTAGTCCTAGAGACCTGGTTTAGTCCTGGTTTAGTCCAGTCCTGGTTTCAGTCCTGGTTTAGTCCTCCTGGTTTAGTCCTGGTTTACCTGGTTTAGACCTGGTTTAGTCCTTGGTTCAGTCCTGGTTTAGTCCTGGTTTAGACCTGGTTTAGTCCTAGTTTAGTCCTGGTTTAGACCTGGTTTAGTCCTGGTTTAGTCCTGGTTTAGTCCTTGGCTCAGTCCTGGTTTAGACCTGGTTTAGTCCTGGTTTAGTCCTGGTTTAGACCTGGTTTAGTCCTGGTTTAGTCCTTGGCTCAGTCCTGGTTTAGACCTGGTTTAGTCCTTGGTTCAGTCCTGGTTTAGGTTTAGTCCTGGTTAGTCCTGGTTTTAGTCCTTGGTTTCCTGGTTTAGACCTGGTTTAGTCCTGGTTTAGTCCTGGTCCTCCTGGTTCCAGTCCTGGTTTAGACCTGGTTTCCTGGTTTAGACCTGGTTTAGTCCTGGTTTAGACCTCAGTTAGTCCTGGTTTAGTCCTGGTTTAGACCTGGTTTAGACCTGGTTTAGTCCTGGATTAGTCCTTGGCTCAGTCCTGGTTTAGACCTGGTTCAGTCCTGATTCAGCTCTGGTTTAGTCTTGCTTTAGACCTGTTTTAGTCCTGGTTTAGACCTGGTTCAGTCCTGGTTTAGTCCTGGTTTAGTCCTGGTTTAGTCCTGGTTTAGTTCTCGGTTTAGTCCATATACGGCACAGAAATTCAGCATCTTCGCAGTTATTTTGTTGAGATTAACTCCAGTCTTTATCAAACAATAATCTGGACGACATCAGGTTACCAGGTTTTACTCCAAACTTTAATGTAACTTCAATCAATAAAATATTTTAGATTTATAACTTAAGCAAACGAAGAGTTGCCATCAAACTGTGTCTTTTATAACCTCCCTCGTGCAGTTTCATTTAGTGATGTTTTTGTGTTGCTGATTGCAGTAAATCCCGTAGAGACTTGTTAGTAAAAGTTGTTATATAAATACTTTACTTTGTTGTTTGCTAATTAGACTCTTCTAATTGAGTTTCATTCCATTTAAGAACATTTTGCCTGTACAAAAGGAGCTAATGAACGCTAAAAATGTGTTTCGTTAGCTATAATTCTGGTCTAATAAGGTCCAGATAGAAGAAACACGCCATATATTTGCAATTACACAAATAGAAAGAACTTGGATAAATAGCTTTCCCATAAAAAACTCACTGCAGTGCGCAAAATGGTCCAAGGGCATTAACATTTGAGAGACTGAAATAGGAACAGACAAACTGAGATAAGAATTCATGTATTTCAGAGCAGGTTTAGTCTGAACGAGCAGCTTGTAGGGAGTTTTCACATTTCTCTAAGGAGGAATTTATATAATGAAGCTATTACCTAAAAAAATAAATATAAATAAATAAAATGAATAAATAATTAAATAAATAAATAAACAACAATAATGTAAAAAATAATACAAAAATAAAATAAAGTAAAACAATACAAAATTAAATAAAAAAATAAATTAATTAATTAAAAAATAAAATAAAATAAAATAAAATAAAGCAATACAAAAATAAAAAAAATTTAAAAAAATGAAATAAAATAAAATAAAGTAAAACAAAATTAAATTAAATTATTTTTTTTTTTTTTTTTTAATGAAATGAAATAAAATAAAGCAATACAAAATAAAATAAATAAAAAATAATATTAAATAAAATAAAATAAAATTAAATTAAGCAATACAAAAATAAAATAAAATAAATGAAATGAAATAAAATAAAATAAAGGAGCAGGACAAAATATGGCAGATACAGGAGGAAACAGAAATGAAAATGACATTTCTTTGCGAGCGTAGATCTAGACTTTAAGGTAGACTAGAGAAATCTGTCATCTGCATTTGACCCGTTTTGCTGCTGCTGGGTTAAACCTGTCAGGAGCAGTGGGACCCATCTCCAGATCTTGAACTAGTCTTGGTCAGGACTACAGCTGCAGGATTTGACCTGTTTGCGCATGTTTTTGTTTTAATGAGGGAGACTGGATCCATTAACTTAAATCCAGTTGGGTTTGACTTTTCATTTGAAGTTTAAACTACAGGATTATTCACAGGTTGGACACAGAAAAAGATCCCAAGTGGACAAAATATTCAATTGGAAGAAGACGACATGTTATTACTTAAATACTTTGTCATCATTTATCAGACATCAGATCTAAATACTATAGGCTTTAAGTCTGGGTCACAAATTAAGCTGCAGGATAGAAAAAGTACAATTTTCTATCCTAAAAAAATTATATTTGAGCTTCACAAAAACTAATTTGTGGAGTTGAGATAAAATGAAAAACTATTGCAGGGTCATTTCTGAGTATTTGTCCAGTCAAACTTAAAAATCAGACTTTTCCCTCAGCAGAAACGTGTCCACGGTTCGATGCGAGACTCAAATAAAGGCTCTGTTATCTTAAATGTCATTAATTAAAGTGGATTTCATTTGTCCAGAACGGCCAAAGTGCATTCATCCACCTACACGTTATCAACAAGACACAAACGTCACTATTCTGCACTGAAGTAGGAGAAAATTGTTAATGAACTCTGTGTGACTGAAGTGAAGCACATCTCCACTCACCACTCTTGGCTCCGTCTCCACATCCACACGTTCCTTTCAACGGACTGAACCACAAAACACCACGACCAAAAACCTCGTCCTTCTCCTTCTCAATCTCCTCCTTAAAACAAGTAAGTTGTTCATGTTGTGGCTCCGGTACGAGAGGAACTTTAAAATCTCCAGGTGCTCGATGCTGCGTCCATGTTTGGACAACTTCTGTAAACACAGAGACGCTCGCTGCGGTTGACGTCGTCGTGTCTCCAGTGTCACATGTGGGACACTTTTGGGCCGTTTAATGTTCACACTGGAGTCACATACAAGTCACATTTAACTGGAAATTTGAACGACCTCGAAAAACATCAGATTTCACAAAAAAATCAGAATTGAGCGTTAAGCCCTGCAGTCTGAACGTAGACTAACTTGGGAAGAACTGTTCATATGTGACAGTCTGTTGTGCTCTGTTCTATTGTTATTACTCGAACTTGACTTTCAAGATGAAACGTTGCTTCTTTGTCTCTTGATTTTATAAGTGCAACTTCTAGTCTGAAAAATACAGTAGTTTTTTCTAAATCAGACCTCGGCGTTATGAAGCTTCCAGGCCGTTCTTTGCTCGACTCTGACCGGCCCGTTTAAGCTCATTTGGAATTACAAAACACACATTTTATAATTTTACCTCATGCATGGACTAAAGCTGCATTGCTTTTATTTTAGAGGTGTGTATTTAAATGATATTTTTTGTAAGTCTGCCTCACTTTTTCGTTGCTTAGTCATAACATGAACTCTGACCAGTCTGACCAGCTCGTCTAAACAATGTTATCTAGTTAAAGGTGCGTCTGAGATAAAGCTGCGACACTTGAATTTCCACTTTGGGGATCAATAAAGTATGAATGTGTCTATCTGTGTATCTGTCTATCATATCTACTACATTTTATAAAGAAATACAATTAATATTACACAGAATTTTGGCCTCCACAATATTTTCTGTTTCTTATGTTGTCCCCACTCCTGCTCTAGACGGTTTGCAGTGGTTAGACATTTTTATTCACCGTGACAAGTTCATATTTTCACAACTTTGTAAAGACCAGTGTGAAGTTTTGGTGGAACTTTACCACCAACAACAACAACAACTATCATGCTAAGAGAGCACTTTCTGATAACCAGACAATAAAACACCAGTAGAATTAGACGCAGCGAGCGGATCTCCAGAGCTGATTACACCAGTGATCCCCAAACTTTACTGCCCCAGGCACGACGTGGTTTAGACCTGGTTAAATCCTGATTTAGTCCTGGTTTAAGTCCTGGTTTAGTCCTGGTTTAGTCCTGGTTTTAGACCTGGTTTAGACCTGGTTAAATCCTGATTTAGTCCTGGTTTAGTCCTGGTTTAGACCTGGTTTAGACCTGGTTTAGTCCTGGTATAGTTCTGTTTTAGACCTGGTTTAGACCTGGTTTAATCCTGGTTTTATACCTGGATTAGACCTGGTTTAGACCTGGTTGTAGATCTGGATTAGACCTTGTTTAGTTCTGGTTTAGACCTGGTTAGAGTCCTGGTTTAGTTCTGGTTTAGACCTGGTTTAGACCTGGTTATAGTCCTAGTTTAGTTCTGGTTTAGTTCTGGTTTAGACCTGGTTAAGTCCTAGTTTAGTCCTGGTTTAGTTCTGTTTTAGACCTGGTTTAGGCCTGGTTTAATCCTGGTTTTATACTTGGATTAGACCTGGTTTAGACCTGGTTTAGACCTGGTTTAAGACCTGGATTAGATCTGGTTTAGTCCTGGTTGTAGATCTGGATTAGACCTTGTTTAGTTCTGGTTTAGACCTGGTTGAGTCCTGGTTTAGTTCTGGTTTAGACCTGGTATAGACCTGGATTAG